GATGGTACATCTTGCTGCCGTTCAGGAGTCAATCGTAGCACAGGGGTTTGCCCGTATCTTTGTTGACACAATATTCCGGCTTCACTTTCTTCCCCGTGAAAGAAATCTATAATAGGTACCCTCGATTAACGACAGAGCTTTGATCACCCATGTTGCGATTCTCGAAACACTTCTTACTATGTCTACTTCTGATCATCCCGAGTTAGATGGTCAGACAGAATGCATCAACTGCATCCTTGAAGAGATACTTTGAGGGTACGTCCGATCTTTCACAGATTGGAGCGATATTTTGCCGATGTTGGATTTTGCCATCAATCACTTTTCGCATGCGTCGACAACGCATACACCAGCCTTCGTGAATGGCTTGCACCATCTAAGCCTACCCACCCATTTCGAGTGTGACTTTTATTTAAAAGGGAGGGGGGGATGCGCTCGGGAAAAGACCGTTCTGGCGCTTGCTCATCACGTTTCGAATTACTCGACGACGCGAATGTTGCCGATGTCGATCAAGTCAACATTGAAGAAGGTATCATAAGCAATAGTGACGGTATTGCTTCCCCAGACGAGGACGACGATGCTGGTACATTCGGCGTCGCTAATGACGATTCCAGCGATGATGATGACGCCATCGTTGCAAAAGAGAGACAGCTCTTAGCAGTGCGTCAAGTGCACTGAAACAAAATAGAGTCAGCAGAGAACTTTCTGTTGACTCGAAAATCAGTGGCTTGTATTGTGCAGGATTCTATCGCTACCGCGGTGGGCCGCCATAGACAGAACGCTGACAAACATGGAAGATAAAACGTTCTGCTATTCAATGTCGGAGACTTAGTTCTACTGTATACGGCAAAACTACCTAAGCACTTAGTAACTAATGTGGTTCGTAGTGCAATACCACTCAAGTAAATCAGGCCGTTTTTTATCCATATCGAAAAGGCAATGCGTACACGATCGAGTTGCCTTACAGGATGCGCACGCTCCTACGTTTTATGTTGGACGTCTCCGCCCGAACTATCAGCACGAAATATATTCCTCGGGCAAATATACCCGACACGCTCAAGAACCTTCAAGAGATTACTTTGGTCCCGAGCCAGTTTCTCAACCTGACTCTGTAGTGCCACATTGTGGCGACGAATTGCAGAAACTTCGTCGCGAAAGGCTAGACGCATCTGCTCGTTTTCCAATTGGTATAATGCTAATTCCGCTCGGTTATCAGACTGATGAAGACAGACGCGTTACACTCATGCATACAAATAGAGACGCTCCTGTCTCTCGTGATCGGTGCAATTGCAAGGATCGCGTAAACGTTGATACACATGATCTAGCTCCATCTGCAACTTCAACATTTAATTTGGAATTGACTTCCCGCCCCCATTACAGCCGTTAGTGGACTCGCACGGTGGTCAACGCTTTCACGTAGAGCGTATCTTGAACCATAATGACGCGAAGTGGCAGCGAACGAGTAATCTTGTTCACTGGTGCGGCTATCCGACGCCGCACGACAGCTGGGTACCTCGCGTCCAGCAGATGGTTGACGTTAAGGATCTCGTCCACCAGTGCGATGACACATATACAATGACTCATAAGGCATTCGGATAACACGCGCCAATGGTGCTGGTAGAGCTAATGAAGGTTAGCAATCGCATCATGCATCTCAGAAGAGATGTGCGTCCTTCCCCAGGGCGAAGGTATGGAGTTCACGTCCCTTTGTATGCGTTTTGTGTTGTCGAAAAAAAAGTAACACGGACATGAGTCACCCCACGTAAGGCATGAAATTCCTGCTTCACGAGAAAGATGGTGCAGCTAGGCTTTTGCAGCAGTTAAAGTTCGTTCTTTAAACCTGACACGATCTGCGTCAAGTTTCTGTAGCCAGTCATCACGCCCAATGTGCTGCACATTGAGTACGAAGGCGTTCCACGCCCGCAACAACGGTCTCTTGTCTCTTGTTGCCGTTATACCAACTAAGCTTGAGAAAAGCATCGAGATGAAGTTCTCTTTAGCGCGAAAGTTGTTTGATATGATGTCAAGGCCGTGCAACAGCCTTGCATCGAATAATGGTATTCGGTGGTGTTGACTTGCCTCGCCTGACAAATTTATTCACAAGCCTTTCTAGTAGTACCCAAGCCTTGTGTTCATAAGCTAGAAGCAGCAAGTTGCCGTCAAGTGCCTCCTGCGTGGTACTAACGAAAGTCTTAGGACCACTACGATCGTCTTCACGAAGTTGCAACACATCACCGCATTCGCTGGGAAGCGAATACGCAGTAGCACGCGCATAGGATGAGTCAGAATACTCATTCTTTGAACCAAACAGGCTCCTGTGGTGACCATGAGCCTGACTACCTACTCAAGTCATATTCCCAGGATCGTAATCGGTGGCCCCTTCAGAATCGGGCGACCAAGGCGACTCTTTTGTATCATACTCACCGCCCCCCCCCCGAATACATGAGTTCCACTGGGGAAACATTATCATCATTGGCACGTGGTGACACACCACGTGCGTCTGCAGCAACCGGTGCTGCAGTAAGCGTTGAGGCGGCAGCAGATGAAGCATCCTCTGCCGCAGGAGGCTGGGCACCTTCAAGAGCAGCTATGTGAATATGCGAAGCTGCCTTTCTAACAGCTTCCACTGCACATCGCATTAACTTGTTAACTATGCGATGATAATGATCCAAAGATGGATGGATAAGACCAGACAAGTGCTCCCTGTCCCTGACATAGTCTTAAGGTGACCACATCAACATGCTAGTGATTGAGTGCCTATCTTTAAAAGGGAGGGGTGACGTAACGGGGTGATCCTGTTACATGTAATTAACTTCGATACTTGTTCATTAGATATTATCATAGAGGTTGACAACGTTCGTATATTTTCCCATATGGGGTGATATTACAAAGTGCCCATCGATTGGCTTAAATGGACATCATGTCAGCCAGCTCTTGTGGTCTTATTAACGATGGACGCGCGCAATGAGTGGTGAAGAAGACTTTGGCATGCACTTTTGTAAACAAATATAATTAATTTAGGACTAAAATGTGGGTACATGTATTTAGGACTTAATCATATTTAATACAGTTTACTATCGACTCCGATTGAACGCTTCGTTCATTATCTAGCCTCCTCTGCACGCACAGTGTACGTGAAGTGACGCGCGGCATTACATACACTATTGCCAGTGTAGTTACACTAGTACTGATGCTGTACTAGCAACCAGTGCCCCGTTACAATTACGCACGCTCGTAATTGAATATAGGCTCGAGTTCGTGTCATTACTTGAGCCTGCAATTGCATCACCTGATTACATCGGCATATTGGCAAATACTGTCAAAGTAATTGGGTGGATGTCTTCGATATATGTAGAGACATCATTTCCAAAGGTTGTCTGGATTGTCGTGGTAGCAGCTTTGTTGTCTACTTTAGTCTCTGCGGACTGGAGTTTTCAAATATCATATTCGAACAACTACACTATCAGAAATGCCAAAGTTGCGCTTCAGATTACATATAACGTAAATCGTGCAGAAACGAAGTTAAATGCTAACACCCGTCTGCAACTATATAAGTTTTACTGCATCTTGAAGTCTTCCACGATCACACATCACTGCTACATTGACCGCATTAATTTCATCGTTATTACAATGAAAAAACCATGCGATGTTGTCTCTATTCTCCGTGAGCACGAAAGTTGTGGCAAGGCTGAGATTTTAGTCGAATTCGTCTGGTCCCACGAACTACAATACCACGCCATTGTACTTTTCATGACGCAAAGGTGTTCCATCAAACTTAACCACAGGAACGCTATGAGAATGAACGCTGATATACACACCAGAAGACACAAAATAGAGAGAATCAATTGTCTTCGTCCGCTTTAAGCGCAACAGCGCTGGCCAAGTTAACGCGTCTCAATTTTACCAAGTGCGGGGTAAGAAGCGTAATTGACATACTCCGTTTACCTTCCATCTCTTCGATAACAGCTCCTTGGCTTTGTAACTTGTGGCTTTAGTTCTACAGGCTAAGACCATCACGAGCACGCACAATTGACTTGCGCTCGAAATTCTTGTCTCCTCTGATCGCGGCGCCAAAGTCGACATAAGTTTAATTTGTCGTGCTGTAGGCTTTGCGATGGCGATGCACATGACAAAATGACGATTGTTTCGAGTAGAGATGAAATATTCTGGAGATTTACCCACTCGCCCTCTCTTCGTCGAGCTAATCTCCCACGGACATCCATCTTGAGGACACGCATACGTTTTGCTCCTGCCACTGCTCTTTGTCACCTTTACTGCCGGTTACGGTTGAAAGAGTAGTCTTTTATTAATTGTGTTGCATGATCACTGGTCCGAAAGGTCTGGCCTTTAGCCAGTTTATTTGCACTGTAAAGAGCACCGAAGTCGATTGCTTCCATTTTAACGAACGTCTAGGTGAAACTTTTCGCGCCTGTCATTTTATGTCGTCAACGCTTGTAGTCAAAGACTTACCAACCACACAAGTAACGTTTTGAAGCAAGTAAGACTGTTTTATTTGTAACTGGTCCTGGTTATGCGGCTAGTCCTGGTTTTGCAAAGGTTGCATCGATCAAGTTGCGATAATGCAATTTACTCTCATGCCCGTTCCCTTGAGCAAGTACCACTCAGTCTGAACAGCTGATTGCTAATGCAAATCTCCCTCAGCTCGAGGTCCAAAAAATGTGCGACACTAGGATCCCAACAATTTACCCAGGAAAAATGGTACCACGGAGCTTGACCTCTCGAAGGAGCATAAAAACTACGACAATGAAGACCGGGCGATGTAAAAGAATTGGCACCCAGAGTAATCAATTAAACACCCGTGACATAGCACGATAGCCACGCAATCCGACCACAGGACGTGAGGTAGGACGCCAAATGTAGCCAGTGTCACCCCGAAACAACAACAAAACAACAGATTCGCAATACTGAGTTACTTTGTATTGTATTCAAAGTCCAGAAGACAAGTACCTACAAATACAACAGCGGAGACACGACAATCGACTTCATGGCGAACGGAGCTTCTCCTCCCGTTTGCTACTTGGATGCATGATTACGACCACCGGGATGGGAGCTGTCGTCTGCTTTTCTGTGAACTTGCTGTATCGTTTGCATAGACGTTGTAGCCATGGATTATCGGGCATGTCCTCGATCGTCAACCCAAAGACTTTTTTCGGAAGGTCAGCTGACTGGTACCCCTTCCAAACCCACCACCTGAACTGCGTCGTTTCAAGCGCCATGCCAATTAAGCGTGTCCTCCGTGAATCGTTTGCCAGCGCAAGCATTTTAGCCACCTCTCTCTCCTTGTGAACGCTCACGAGAACTTCAAACATCGCAACGTCCCGGCCCTTCTTGCTTTTCTTGGTGACGTGGTCAGTCCAGCGCTTGAATTTTCGACTTGAAAAGTACTCGACTACTAGCTCTTTCTTGGAATATCCAACTTTGGGTTCCAACAGGGACTTCAGCCTCAAGACCTCGTAGGCGCTGCCGGCAGACTCTTTGGGTCCCGGGAGATTGCTTTTCGCGTCGAAGAAATCGCTGTAGCGTCGATGTATACTATCTAGCCGACTGTGATGCGGCAAATACTGTCGTCGTATGTCAAGTATCCTCATCAGAATGTAATCTGGCCCGTATCCCTGCGAGAACCACCACTCAAACTGCGCTGTCTCCAGCTTCTCGCCAAGCTTGTGTGTCCTCCATGAATCCTTCGCCAGTATGATGAGTGTAGCCACGTTTTTCTCGTTGAAGGTAGCCTGCAGAACGTCAAACATCGCAGCGTAACGGTCCTGCTTGTTTGTCCTGGCAACGTGCTTGGCCCAGCGATTGAATTCGCGACTCGAGAAGAAGTTGGTCACCAAGTGTTCCTGGATAATTTCATCCCTGCTGATCGGCATGGAGTTGAGTCCTAAAGTCTCGAAGGCGTCTTTCACTGAATCATCGATCCGAGGGAGTCCTTGCAGCTGCTTGAACCGTGTCGGTACCAGTAGACCTGCGACCTTGTCAAGACCGACATTGTTTCGATCTTCTTGTTCTAGGCCGACAGAAGCGTTAGTCGCCTGATGTCCCATGGAGTTATTGTACTCCAGACTTGGTGTTGCTTGATCCCCAGATGCCCCGAAAACCAAAGCAAGATCAGCACGTGCAGGCAGCATGACGACAGCGAGGAAGAGGGCAAAGAGGTAAAACCTCATGACGAGATGGTGGCGTTTCCAGTCGATGTGTTGGCAAGTAAGACGCCAATCGATAAATGCGCTCAACAAACGGCGGGAAGAGGTGTGCATGCACTTCATGTTACCTTGACCCGAACTCGATCCGCGACGCTGTACAAAACCGGGCTCGTAATCGTTTCCTGACTGTCTCTCAGAGAGCAGTCAGGAAACATAGCATAGACACGCCTTTTTTGTCTTGTACTCGGGAGTGGTCGCGTTCATTTTCTGCAATGCACACACGCATGTTGTTACTTTGTTCGATTACCACTCGATTACGACTCTATGATGGTAACGTTGCACATATAAGAACAAGACGTTAGAGATAAGACTTAGATGACCAGGTAGAACAGGAAAATTCATGCTCTTGGTACGTCAAGCCAGCCTTTATCGTCTACAACAACATCCACAGTTTCACAGCTCGTTCTCGCAAAAGACGTGCCACATTTGTTGAGGTCTGATTGGAGTATTGGTAAGACAAGCGGCGGGTGAAGCACGACAGGTACCGATACTGTATTGCTATTGTCTACACCTCCATCCATCCATAGTTCCGATTCGTACGAGGAAAGCTACCTCCCTAGTTACTTGCGTCCTAAAGCGTAGAGGTGTGGGGCCACTACGATCCTACTCCCGTCTCCCGGCCTTTCTGTGGGTGCCGAATCTACGGAGCCTGGACATTGCCTTCCTTCATCAGCCCCTTTTCGGCATGAATGATAGTGGACACAGTACAGGCTAATTTAGTTGTCGGGTCTCGCCAGGACCCCGCTGCGTCCGGAGCTTCTACCTTTTCACGTGTGAGGTCATGTCAATAGGATCATGAAGTATCAGATAGGTGGACCTGTTATTGTATCGCGACCAAACAGTGGAATCTGTACCTTTCCGGTCGCACGCTGTACAAAAGCTGCTGTAAGTTGCTGCAATGCAGGGGAACAAAGAGACTGCAGCGCGGACTGTCCCAAAACACGTGCGATTTGTAGAGAACTGACCAGCCACTAGACTGGGGAGTGCGCGACGTACTTCGTCGTTACAACTTATGAAGCCACTGCGCGAATCGCCAAATTCCGCCGATACCACGCCGGTTGGGTCTGTGGTTGCGTAATAGTTTTGAAGGTGATTACGACGCCGCCGTGACCGTGTTTCAACGCACCTGGTCTTCTTAAGCTTCATCGATTAAGAGCATTTGTGGAAGCAGTGTAAGCGGCAGTTCTCAGAGAAGGTTCGACTTTTCCATCGGCGAGCGTCAACACGTACTAAGAACGTTGTATTCGTCAGCTGAAGGTCATTGCAAAGCGCAAACATCGAGCCACGACTACTGCCGTACGCGGGGCCTGTCTTCATGCGTGTATCGAATGATTAATTCACGAGCCACATGGATACTCGCCTCACGCTGGAGTCAGCCACGATCTGCTGCCACGATCAGCCCTCACATTCTGGCTCAGGATTTCAGGCATCTTGCACACGTGAAACATGTTAGCAGATGATTATAAAACTTCTCCTACGAGGTCAAGCTATCGATTGGTGAGAAGAGCCGCGGTAACGCACAACAGCTACCGCTCGTTCGGATCTGGTCACCGAATGTTGTGCCAATTTTTACGACGTCGCCCGTCTGTTATACCACGAGGAACTTTTAACACTACGTCGCAAATACGTATAGAGAGGTCCATGGCCGTCTGCTGCGTGTATCTATGTGCAGAAGTTTTGAGGACTTCTAGGCCAGAAAGGGACCCCCGGATCGGGCTGCTCTTTGTGACAGACCGCAAAGTAAATGGTGGCCGCTTGGACCAGAAGTGAATAGTTCGAGACATGCGTGTAAACGAGCTCCTAGAGGTCGAGACATGCGGGTAAATGAGCTCCAAGAAACCACTGTTTCAACGTCGCGATGTTCGAGATTCGCCAAAGCATTGAGCTGTCAAATTTCGGTCTTCCAGAAGCAAACAACGCTTTGATATGTCGTGACTTGATCTCTCTCCGAAACACGGCGTCATTGGGTATCTACCAAAACCCCAATAAACCGAGTTTAAGATAGATGAGCCAGCTCTGGAGTTGGCCCCTTGTGACATAAGTAATTCGATTCCAGAAATGAATTGAGTTGATAGAGACTATGCAATAATAGTCACTAAAGAATGAGTGTGCGGCTAGTAATGTCTGTATTCGCCTAGCATATTGTCTAAGGCAACGCGATTGGTCTTTGCTTATGAGCGCCAAGCACTTGCCAAGGTGATCATATTCACATTTGATTGGTTTTAAGCCAATCAGGTGCGTGTATCACAACATTGACCTATCCATAGAGTGACACCTATCATGCTAATCGACCCATGAGAAGTGGATAGGCTTGATCGCACTTAGTGCGTACAAGTACACCTAACCGCGTTATTTACAGACGCACACAGGTAAGCACGATTTGAGATGTCGGCATTCAACCCTGCCCACACTCACTAATAACAGCTTCAACGTTCTGGTTCGCAATAAATAGTGTGTATAGCACGCCCAGAAACTACATTTGTAAACAAGTTTATGAGCACCAAAAATCTGTCGAGACCGAAGAATCGTCTCGACAAAGTTGTTGTTTCATAAATATTTATCGCAACATAAAACAAATCGATTACAAACGTGCATATCCACCACTATCCACCCACCGTCGCGGCCGGGTGGTGTTACGTATTTTAGCCCAAATTACGGCGACGGGCGACTTCAATTTTGTTGGCGTCACCTGATTACCCGACTCGGTCGGAACTGGGTCTAGAGTCTGTTTTGTCGATTCGACACTACCCTCATTTCGTCATGACTTCGAATTGTGCGCCGAGGACGCATAGTAGGTACTCGTAGAGGTCGTTCGCTGTCAAACGTTGGTCTGGTTCGCTCGAAGTAGTCCGCCGACAAGCTGCATTGTTTTGAGACGTAATGCTGGAGCTTGACATGGAGTCGGACGGTACGCATTTAAGCTGGGCTACGCACCTCAGGCAGCACGGAGTGGTCTCGTACGCACGCTCTCGCCATCATCGGTGCGCGTAAAAGGTGCCCCATACGGTTATCCATTGGTTCATAAGTCAGTTAGCCAATGGACAGACGTTTTATCTCCACAAACGCCTGGTTACCCTCCTACTGCAAGCCTTTCTAAAGCGATTGGATTAAATCATCAGCACATATACATGTCTACGGGTGGCGGCCCATCAGCTTCTTTCCGAGGTCTGGAAGCAGGAAAAAGGGCGCTCCGACCCTTAAGTTTGACCGGCGTATTGCATCGATACCAAGCGAATCAATATCTACCACGCGGGCGTCCCACAGACAATAGCTGCTTTTCATCGCGGTAGTGTCAAGGGGTGCCTGAGACTTCACAACACTTATTATGGGAGTACCCGACGGTGCGCGCGTGCTGGGAAAAATTCTTCAGACATTGGGCTGGCGCCACCACTACTGAAAATTTCAGCGCTTTAGCGGTCCAGACCATCGAAGAGGCAAGATGATGTCGCGGCGGGAGAACATGTGTGGCGACGAAGTGGTTCCTGATGTGCTCTACCTGCATCACACACTTATGGTGTGAGAGAATGATGCCGCTTTTCGTTGCGCGCAGTCCACGACGTATGTCAGTGTGGTAAGCTTCTGGACCACGAGTGTACGTCATTTAATCGCCTTGTCTATACGAGAACATAGGGGCGCAGAAACAGTCGTTCAAGGGGCTCAGTTGCATGTTTGTCTTAAACTTTTTACTTATGCGTGAATTTCAAACCAATTCTTCTAGCAGGATGCCACGTATCACTGCCGAGTCCAATGCTGTATCTCTGGAGTATACTATTTCAGACTTCTAGCACATGTAGTGAATCGAGTGTTTGGGAATAACGGAATCAAGGGTCGATGAGCCGGATGGACATGGGACCTAGAGGCCGGGAAAGGGACCGGAGACCTGGCGGTCACAGGTAGGGAGCGGCTGTTGGGTCCAATCGTGACAAGCGGTTAAGGTGACCGCTAACGAGGTCATAACGACCGACGGTAACATTTCAACTGCACCGAAATGGATCTTTCTCAACTACTCGTCGGTCGGCCTGGTCGCTCAAGGTGAGCCTCGGTTCCCGTAGGCCGACCTGGCCACCCATCGGGCAACCTGGTCACCCAAACGTCGACTTGGCCCCTCAATGTCTAGTGGCTCCTGCCCACTTAGCATAGAGAACCCAGGTGCAAGGCAAAGATAGAGTAAAGGAGTTTCAATGATAGGACGATATTAAATACTACTAAATTTGCAATCTAAGTATCACGACGTGTCGTGCACTAAAAAACTTGTAAGACAGCCGACCTGTTACCTAGCCATGGATCTATTTGGCCCACCCGTCGAATAGACAGTTGTCAGTAAGACCCAAGTGTAAGTAGAACCCCAGGAAATTTATTGGCCTGCGGGTTCGTAGAGTGGCGCCCCCAACTCAAGCCCTCTATAGGAAGCGGTCTCCATACCCTAATGGTAAGAAGGAAGAAACGTAAAGGCTAGGCGGTTAACACCTCTGAGACAAGTAAAGGCCAGGCGCTACCAGCACCAAAAAATTCTGGTTCTAAGACCACTCTCGATCAAGTCGATCGAGTGGCCGCCTACGTTGGACCCCGACCGAAGCATATTCGCTCGGGGCCCCCAGGTCGACCTCCATCAACGCCGACGTCTAAATCATCACCAAGTCCTCCGAAAAGTGAAAATTGCCAGCCGACAATTACACAAGGTGAGTAAGTTCCGCAAGAGGCGTCGAGGTACTCCCTCCGACGGTCGGCAGTCCGTCACAGTGAGTGGTTTGGGGTCTCGTCCAACAGTTTTGACAACCCACTCCACCACACACGTAATCACAATGGATAGTAGGCAGTCATGAATCTCTCTCTCAATTTACCTCAACGGTTTATCGACTGGTTTTGGTGGCACGACATCGCATTACTAATGCTCGCATTCGTTAGTAAATGTGGTTATGGGGATACTATAAACAGTATTTGGAAACTCGTTTCATCGGATTTTAGTAGTCACTCATTAGACTTACTCCATAAGAGCGATTGACGAATCGAACACATTATGAATCAAAGGGAATCGTTTATCTCTGGCGAGCAGTGAATGCGTAATGGTCTTATCCGAATTAATTATTGTGGTACATTCTTCCTTTCTTGATGGTAAAAAACTCTCCCTCAGCTTAATTCTGTTCGTCACGATTCAATTGTATGTCGTCGGCCGCACTTTTTGTGTCGTTCACGATGTTGCCGATCAAGATTATCCTCCGTCTCCCTTTTTACATATTCCTCTCATCACAACATCAACCACAATAACGAGTAGAGGTGCTTAGCGCACAACAATCCATCAACATTTCCATTTTCCATGTACGAAATGTCCAGCCTGTTTTCTAGCCGCTGGCTACCGGAATGGGCACGTGAATATACAGAACTTGATTCAGTTCCTTGGACTGAATTTCTTGATATAGCAACGAGCGAGCTATACAGATTGCCTTCTCATCGTACTTCAACCGTTTCCATCACGTTGTCGCGGCCAAATGAACGTCAAGTGCACTCACAAAACCCACCTCGCTATTCCTTCTTTGTCACTTCAATCTGTACGATACTCCCTTTTAGGTAAGTATGAAAGCAACAGAACAGATCTGGAATGTGGTTGGCCGCGCAATAGCGACGACTAAGATATCCCAACCTTTTTGACCGTTACGTCCCTCACCGGTAACACCTGACTGTAGAAAACTATAACTGCAACTATAACGAAGTCTATGAGCCTACCGGTCAAGTGAGAAAGCTGTGGACGACATGAAAAGAAAGACCATCGACAGATCACGGGTACTCATCATGCAAGCAGTCTATATGTCTTGTTCAAGCCACGAACGCTACACTTCAGCACGCAATCGTTTTCTGACCATCGTCCTCGCTCAACAGACTCCATCAGTACAGTCAAGATGGCTGAACAAGTGACGACAGGATCGACTTATTGAAACCAGCGATCCGCACTCTTGATGCTTTCATCCACCAGGGATTTACCACCTCCCGCCGTCCGCTTTTCGCCAAAAATCTCCTTCTTGTAGCTCTGTACCAATTGCTCAAAAGACTTCTCCTTCTTGTTTTCCTTCGTGGTCTTGCGCTGACTGCGGGACAATGAATGGCTTTTCTTCATGACATGAGCTGATTCCAGTGAAGCCAGAGCGTCATCCGCAGCATCACCACGCGGAGCCTCAGCACGTTTCCGCTTCTTTGGCTGCTGCTGCTTCACCTTCTTGACTTCTTCTCTTGCCCACTTGGGCTTCGTCTTCTTACCGTCACCTTCGGCCTTCGCGATGACTTTACCCTGAGCACGCAATTTCTTGCTCTCACGCTGACGCTGACCGCGACTTTTCTTTATCTTTTCAGCATCTTCACCGTCTTCACCCTGTGCTTCCTTCAATGCACGCTCCTCCTCGCGCTTCTTGGCAGCGTCAGCAGCACGTTTCTCACGCAGCTTCAACTTACTATGATTTTCCAGTGCAAATTCGACAATAAGGCGTGACATCGAGCTGTCAGAGGCACCCGAAGCTGCAGCCCGGCCAGCCGCGTACGACGTGTACTTGGGGTTATTGTTCAGGATACGTAAAGCAGCTAGTGCGTGCAGGTGTTCCGAAAACTCGACAAAACCGTACCCACGTGACCGCGGATCCTTGCCAGCCTTCACTGATTCCATGTCACGTACCACCTTAGCCATACGAACCTTCACTGAAGGGTTCGCCTCCTTGGACAACAGCTCCGACTTTATTTCGGAACGGTGCACATTTCCAGCACGCATACCGGCACTTGCAGCATCATGGAAAAGCTTCTTCAGAGCGCGATCATCCAGCGTAGTGGACAAATTGCGCACAGAAAGACGCAGGGGGGACACAAAGTACATCGGGTTCTGCAGCTTCAGCTTCTTCTCACGAATGGCGCGCCGGCGCTTGTCAATATCCATCTTCGGTAACTCTAGCTCTGCATCCGCCATCTTGTTCACGTTAATCGTGCCTTCGTACGCCAAGTACAGATTCCGCTTGTCGAGACGGCGACGCTCAAGAGCATTGACATCAGCCATTCGCTCTGCATCAGTCTTTGACACTGCCCGCGACAGGATGAGCTGACGGCCATCAAGCGTCAGCACATCGGCTCCACCGTCTGCCAGAGTAGACAGCGTGAACATGTTTTCTTTTTTCCTGTCCTTCTTGAGCTTCTGTTTGCTGTCAACTTGCGGTTGTTCACCGCGCTTCAACACTTCCGCAGCCACGTCGGCAGATTTGAAGCGAACGAATGCAACTCCTTTGGACAGTTCTGAGCCTTTCTCGTACACGATACGAGCATACTCAACTGCACCAAACGTTTGGAAAAAGTCGCGTAACCCGTCCTCGGTCGTCTGGAACGACAGATTACGAATAAAAAGCGTACGTTCACGCTGTGCTTCCGTGTCTTCCTTTGGAGTCAGCGAAACGGGTTCCTCGTGCTCTTCTTCTTCTTCTTCGTCGTCGTCGTCGTTCAAATCGTTCGAACCATCGTCCACCTCATCGTCAGCGTCCATTTCGAGCTGGCCGTCGTCTTCGTCACCACTGTTCACCTCTACTTCTTGCTCATCTCCCTCCAATGCTGAGGCAGCAAGTGCCTCTTCTTCCTGCTTCTTCTGCTGCTCAAGGTACTTTGTCTTGGACAATGCAAAGTCCACAATCATCTCACGACCCTTGACCTTGACTCCATTCAGCTTCTCTACAGCTACACGCGCATCGGCTACATCGCGGTACTGAACAAAGCCGAAGCCGCGGCTACGACCAAGTACAGGTTCAGCCTTATTAGCATCCTTGCCCGTCTCCTCGCTCTCCAGTTTGTCTACTTCCACTGGCATACGCACAACGCGGGCCTCGAATAGCGGGCCATACACCTCGAACAGTTTTTCTAAATCTTCATCTGTGGTCTGGAAAGCCAAATTACGCGCAATAAGGCGCAACCCTTCCGCCTCAGCAGCACGCTTTATGCGACCCGGTGTTCCTGCTCTTTCTTTCCCATCCGCTATGACGGCCTTTGCTGCACTCTTCACTTGCAGCGTTGAACCCTTGAATATGTGGCGATCCAGCTTAGTCACAGCCAGTGCCGCGTCCTTCGTGGATTTAAACTGTACGAAGGCGTACACTTTACCAGTACGAGCTTCTTCTTTCAGCTCAACTTTGTCCACTGCACCGATTTTCTTTACCTTCTTGTGCACATGCTTCTGAGTCACATTGGCACCCAGACCGAAAATAAGCACAGACTTGTCCTCCACGCTCGCCTGCTCCTCTCTACGGCGCTCCACGTTTCGCAAAAGCTCACGATGTTCTCGACGGCGGGCATTACGCACACTCTGCGCGTGCGTCGTCGTCAACGTACTCGGTTTGGCCACAGTGCTATCTTCCAAGACAGGCTCAACATCAACGTCTACATTCTGCTTGATCTTGACCGGCTTTGTCGTCTCCACTAATTTCACCGCAGTAGGTGCCTTGTCCTTCTTGGCCGAATTTGCCGTCTCAACCGATTCCACCGCAGCAGGCGCCTTATTCACGTTACCCTGTACCTTCTTGGCGCTCTTAGCTATGCGACGTTCTTTCTCCTTCGCTGATCCACGGTCTTTATTAGCCATATCCGTCTCCACTTGTGTCTCCTGCATATGACCATCTTCCTCCGCCTGTAGCCTCTCCTTTTCGCTCTCCTCCTCTTGCTTGGGCTTCTCAGCTGCTACCGACTTGACCAGTCCTTTACGCTTGCCCTTTTCCATCGCATAGTCTACACATCAACCAAATACATACACTCAATAAGAAGCACAAAAAGACTCGTCCATCTTGACAAATGGCCACAGCTATAGCCACAGCCAATCATTCATTCATTCATTCAAGTGGCCGAACCAATGAGCATCTTGCGACCCTGGAAGTCCGCCTTGTTCAGCGTTTCAATAGCCACAGCTGCATCGCTCTCAACTGCACTGCAACAATAACAATAACAAACAGAAGACCATTGGAAAACGTCATACAAATACTCAGTACACAGCGTCCAGTAGAAAAAAGGAGCTCCACGTACAACTTGACAAAGGCGAAGCCACGCGTCAGTATCTCGTCTCGGCGCTTGCCCTTGTCCTTGATGATGTCGATCTTCTTCACGGGTCCAACGTCGCTGAACACTTTCTCCAGCTCTTCCTGCGTCACGCCAAACGGCAGGTTACGCACGAAGATGCTCGCCATGGTATGGTTATGCTGCCTTCGCCACCAATGGCCCGTCGATATCGACTCTCACGAGTGATGGAAAGATAGAGGTGACTGGAACGCTATCGTTAGAGTGCGCTATCCTATTGACAAGAGAGGACGATTTACCGATGCACGAAAACGCTTAAAACTGAGCTTTTAGGGAAAACCTGTCTGTGTGTAAGGTGTGCGTGTGGGTGGAATAATAAATGGCCCACAACGCTCGTAAATAAGGCTCAGCCAATGTCGGCATACCGCTGGCACCACATGCTGTATACAGCATCGTCTACGAGTGCTACTCTACGCTCGGCTTGTAGGCAGAAGCTGCGACGCCCAAGATAGCCGCCATTTCAGCAGCTCCGTAGTTCTTGGCGTCCTTGTTCGTCTGTCGCTTCCGGTAGTGCAGCTTTCGAGAGACACAAGTCTTTTCAGCACCCGACTTTTTGCTCTTCTTGTCCTTCTTCACCTTCTTGCTCTCCTTCTTGCTCTTCTTGTTCTTCTTCTTGCTGCTACTTGAGCTCCCGTCAGAGCTGTCGGCATCCAGGTTGGACAGGTTCCCGTACGACTTGTTCAGTGTCTTGAGCACATCGGCAAAGCCCTCGACCGTCTCCGACCAGCCCTGCACTTCTGCCTGCTTCAGGCTGCAGCCCACACCCAAATTCTCGGAACGTCGTCGGATCTTCACGTGGGAAGCCTGTCCCTGCAGCTCCTTGCCCACCCCTTTCCCCGCCGACCAGCCCATCTTGACCAGCATCTTAAAGCCGAACTTGGACGTGTCCGAGGCCCACGCCATGTTCTGCATGCCGCCCAGCGCCACCATCGTCTTCCCCGCCTCCTCCTCCGTCGTTGCGGTAGAACAGGAAGGTGCGGCGTCCATAGCGAACGCCATTAAATGCGATCACGACGTCGCCGACTGGAGAGTTACAGAGTGCACCGCTACGACGTTCACGGCCAGGGCGACCTGTCAAAACTTATTATCTAGAGGACGCGATCATAACCAGTGATAATCGATGAAACAAACAATTCAATCCAGCAAAAACCGGTACGACTGAAAAAAAACTTCCATTCGGTCAGTACCATGCAGCGAGTCTTGACAACCGTCAACATCAGATTGTCAAAACGTGTGGTACTCTTGTACAAAAGCAGCTAGCTGGGCACCGAGTGCCTTGCGGAATGGCGAAGTCGACGACGTGAGTGCCGCATGCAGTACTTTGCCGCCTTCCGACTGATAACGAGACGGTACCACGGCCTCGACGTCGTAATCGCCACCACAATCCGAGCTCAGGTCCAGAAACTTGAGCTCGCCCGTCACGACATTAGCTCCTTGAGTCAGCGTGCATGCCAGTGTGAAGGCAAAGTCAAAGATGTAGCGCTTGGCGCCACGCACCACAGCAATTGACGCGTCACCCTCTAGATTCGACACTTGACCCGAGGTGACAACCCCTTCCTCGGTCCCTAAAGGAGCCGACACGCCTGCAACGATTGTTTCCAGCTTCGCCTTGGCCCACGCCGTCATGTCTTTCTCCTCAAACGTGTTGCCCTGGTTCCAAGCGGATCCACCGTCCACGCTCTTGATCTGCACAGCATCAAGGTCTTGGACTTTCTTAGGAGCAATGTCGCCAATTAGCTGCTTGGCTTCCTCGGTTAGCTCGTTGTTAAAGAACGTGGTCACGCGTCCATCTGCCAACTTCTTGTAGCCACGAACATGACCAATGATTTCTCCATCTTCCTCCACAACTGAAGGATCAGCAGTTGGAGAAGTTCCCGTAGCTGAAGATGCTGAAGCAGAACTCGATCGCGTCTCTTGCACACGCGTCATGACCTTCTTCGACGGTACGACCACCGGTGCCTCCTTCTGCTTCGTGGCCAGCTCTTGCACTTTGGCAAGCAGCAACGTCACCGACTTGTTGCTTGGCTCCAGAGCTTTTGCATCGTCCAGTACAACGAGCGCTTCTCGATAACGTTCCAGCTTGACAAGGGCCTGCGCCTTGCGGAATAACCCCTTGGCGTACGCAGCGTCCAGCGCCACACACGCATCTGCGTCCTCCAGCGCTTGCTCGGCTTTGCCCATCGAACACCGAGCAGCCGAGCGGTTGGCATAGAAAATATGCCGAGTTGGCATCGAATGGCTCTCCGTCACGGCGAGAGCCCTCGTGTAGAGCACCTCAGCCTCTTCCAGTGCCTTCTGTTGGAAAGCAGCATTACCTCGACGCTTGAGCTCCGCCACGAGTTGCTCCAGCTCCGTGGGGTCACTCGGGATGGCTCCGTGCAGCACGTCCGAGTGACGGGAAAACGGCAGACCTGCATCTCCTCCAAACATTTTATCGGGATAGCGTGCTCACCTGTTGACACAAAGATTAAAAGTGGCAGATATCCGGATTGTCAAAAACCTAGTTGAAGGAGCTCATTACTGCCTATTCCAGAACGTTCGAGGCTTAAACTAGGTCACTGGATGGCTGATCATGATGATGATGATGATGATGCATTAGACCTCAACTGCCAATCTATCGACGTGCACCTTGCCTTGTTTTTTTCTTGCAGCTTTTCACTTGGTTCTACTTGTCCGATTTCATCATGGTCGAGCGCTTTCGCCGCTTGTTCCTCGCTGGGTTGTCACCGATTGCATTGCCAGTTAATTTCCTCTTCTTGGCTGCCATCGTGCGAGCTGCGTGCAAACGAGCTTCTTTCGCCTCCTCTGCCTTCTTCTTGGCCGCCTCCTGCTCTTTCCAAATAGGTAGCTGGCTCTGGTACTTGGAACCGCCAATGTGGTCGTTCACTCGCTTCTCGTCACGAGCAATCGCGGACTCTGTGACATTGCACCACAACATGTCCGTCTTCAGCTCGTCCGGGTGATCCACAAACATGGGCGCGTACTTTGCAAACGAAAGCTTCAGATTGCAGGCCTTCTGGTAGCGCTTGCCCTGCAGGTACGTGTTGATGACGTCCACGTCTGCCACCATCTCGTGACCTGTCGTAGAGCACCGTACTCGCGAGTCTCCAATAAATGTCAGATCCGGCGTAGACTGGACGAGAGCTTCCACTGTCTCCCGCGGCTTGATCTCCGTCTCTTTTTTGCGGGCGGACACAACGTTCTTGCTAGGAAGAGCATCAGGCTTGACAAGAGCGACCTTCTTTGCTGCAGCCGTTGGTCTTTGATTGATCGCAGCAGGGAGCACGTTCGTAGACGTAGCCAAAGGCCGCTCACTGAGACTTGAGCTTTCAGCGGATGACGTGATGGAGCTAGAAGTCTTCGTGCTGACTGGAGGAGACGGCCTTTGCATGCTCTTCCCCGTTTTGTTCTTTTTCGTATCCATTGGCGTGACCGCATTGGTCTCACTGCTAGTGCTAGCAGCGGGTATAGCAGTGGTAGATGGCAAAGTCTTGACGAGTGTAGGAGACGGCGTCTGCTTGCGCTTTGTTGTCTTCTTTTTTGAGTTCGAAGGCGCCACCTCGTTGGTCTCACTAGTGCTCACTGCGGGTGATGCAGAGATGGATGGAGACTTCTTGACAGCCGCAGGAGACAGTATTTGCGTGAGTCTCGACTTCTCGACGACTGTAGGAGACGGCGTTTGCTTGCTCTCCAGTGTCTCCTTCTTCTTCGCAAGTGCAGGCGTGACCGCATCGGTCTCACTGCTAGTGCTCGCAGCGTGCAGTGCAGTAGTAGATGGAGACTTCTTGACGACAGTAGGAGACGGCGTCTGCACCTCCATCTTCTTCTTCTTTCTAGGCGTCACTAGCTTAGTATCACTGCCTGTGCTCGCAGCGGGCAATGCAGTGGTAGTAGTTGGAGACTTCTTGGCGACTGTAGGAGCCGGCATCTGCTTGCGCTTGATTGTCTCATTCTTCCTCTTCGCACCTACAGGCGTCACTTCATCGGTCTCCTTGCTAGCATTCTTAGCGGCCGATGAAGTGGTACATGGGGACTTCTTGACGACAGTAGGAGATGGCGTGTGCTCGATTTTCGACTTCTTGGCGACTGTAGGAGACGGCGTCTGCTTGCGCTTAGTAGCATTCTTTTTCACGTCCGAAGGCATCACCTCGTTGGCCTCACTACTAGCAGATGATGCAGTAGTTTGAGGAGCCTTTTTAACAACGGTACGAGACGGCGCTTTCTTGCTCTTTGCCGTCTCCTTCTTCGTGCCCAAAGGCGTCACCAGCTTTTTCTTACTGTCATCGTTCTCAGCAAGTGACGTTGTGGTTCGAGGAGACTTCTTAACAGCTTCAGGAGACGATATCTGCTTGATCTTCGACTTCTTGACGGCCAAAGAAGACGGCATCTGCTTGCTCTTCATCTTTTTCGCATCCCTTGTCGTCACCAGCTCAATGTCACAAGAAGAGCTCTCACATGGTAAAGCATCAGTCTCCGTAGACTTCTTAGAGACTGTAGTGCTTGGCGCGTGCTTTCTCTTCAGTCTCTTCTTCGGCTTCGAGTCCGCAAGCGTCAACTGTACAGTCTCCCTACTAGCACTTTTGGACGCGGTAACCTTCAGCTCCTTCACGCAAACCTCCGGTTCTACTTCCGGCTCCACATCCCGCTTCACCGCTCGCTTTCCCCCCACGGCTTTGGCGGTAGGTGACGTGCTTTCAATGCTGTTCAGCACGTCCAGCATCTGCTGCTCGCCGTCCTTCGGATGGTCGTCCAGGAACTGCACCGCGTGGCTCAGGATCACTTCCGACTTGGCATTCCCTCGGCACAGCTTCATCTCCATAGCCAGCACCTGCAGCTTCCGACGGGGCGCGCTCTTTAGCGCGATCATAGCTTTGCCCATGCTTGGTGTATCCATCCGACGGACGCAGTGGGTTGGTTCCCTGCCAGTCGTACGCGATAACATCCCACGGTGGTGAGTATGTTGCGCGTAGGTTGCGCGTAGGTTGCTCGAGATCATTGCGACACTAGAACAACCTGAGCTTCAACGTGCTACCGTTTCGACTCGCAAAATTGATGCGACGTTGTTCCATTGCTCGCTCCTCTATCCTTTTTCACCTGTTAAATGTCCCGGAACTGCTGTAATGAACGTACCGATTAAGCACACACGAGCTGCATCGAATTTGGCATTCAACATGCGGGGAACAGTGCGTCCGTAATATTGATGTTGAATCCATTTCGTAGACTCGTCCAGGTACACGCTCTACGAAAGCAATTGGCTGCAATGAGATCGGTATAGATAACGTGCGTCTATCACAACTCGGAAGCTTGGTACTGCTTCTATTGATCAGCTGATGGACGCATTGTGTGTGATTCCATGACGTGCCCATTCACGACAATTGACAAGGCAGATTTACTTGCTAGCGACGTAGTAGATATTGAGTGATCCGTTACGCGGACGTGTCCGCGTTGACGGTCGAAGCTTTTATACGTGTATGCACCTGGCGTCTCGGAGATAATGGTTGTGAGGCTCTACAGTTGTCTCTGATCGCTTACTGAAAAGCGTCCGTCAAGGCAGCCGAGCTTCGTGACTAGCCGATGCGATAGCATTGTTCGGCAACACAAAGGATTGATGTAGATCGATGGTTCAGGAGGACGCGAGAGCTGTCGACCTTCATGACTGGCTTACAGTTTAGCTGGGCGATCCAGTTCTCCGTTCGATATGACGTATCTAAACGTCGTTTATACGCAACGTCGATTGACTTTGACACGCATCCTCCTCCTTTTCAGTAGCTGCAATTCAAATTAGTAAATTTGCAGGGCCTTTTTGTAGTATAGCTCGCGCTTTATGGTGGTACGTTTAGCTACTTACTATCCGTCGGCTTTCTAGCAACATCATGGAGTGGTTTTGTGCTTCATACTAGCTCCGTTCGTCCGATCGAGGTTCGCTCGTAAGCTGCAAACTACTGGGACGAGTCGCACGTAATTGTGTTTATGCTCTGACACAGCCGCGACAGAAGCTGTAGCAGATGACAGGTTCAGGGACTTTGTTAACCCACGCATAATCGACAGCAAGCTCTATCAGCTGCGACTCGAGACCAAGCTTATTCGCACCGGTCAAAGTATCTTTACTGCTACGCACCGGGTGCAAGTCGATTCCGTGAGAGCGTGCTCTACTTTGCAGCATAAGAATACTACGCCACCTCCAAAGGGGATCTCCTGGACTCTATGGTCGCTCTGGCATCAGTCGCAGCTACAAAAGCGCTTACAGCGTCCCAAGTGCATCGTTACCAAACACGATCGACGTCACTGCCAACTACAGCGAACAAGGGTTGACACGATAGCGTCGATTGTCCATATTCCAGGACTTTCACAAGGTATCGACGTGACAGCTGCACTATTTGCTACATTACAACACGATGCTGTTGTTTCGTCGTTGTCCGTACTACATACACTACGAGGTGGTCGGTAGAGTGGGAAGCTATAGCTACGACGATGATCAACACTTGTCCCCCTCAACAACTTGACGACCGATCGACGATCGCCATCAACTGCGGTGCTAAGCACGGGCATGTACTGCCTGATCATTGGCTGGCACTGGTCAAAGAGGATGCTTGATGAAGATGGTCTCCGATGTACCCCCCTGGTCACCACGCATTAGGCTTTTCGTACTGTGTAAACCGCGCTATCTCCACCACGAGTCTGCAATCGGTTCAGAGCTCCCACGCTTCTCTCACCAATTGATCCCCTCGTCGACTACTACCCCAATATGTCTCAGTCACAACACACGTCCAAGCCTCTACGCGTGGGTCTCGTAGGCGGTGGGCGAATTGGAAAAGTACATGCAAAGAGTCTGCAGCGCGCGGGGGCGATTGTCGCTATGGTTGGTGCTGCCTGCGACTTTATCGTGGGGATTAACCCTCAACCTCATCAATGACTCGTACTGAAGGATGTGCTGTGTGTGCTGTGTAGATCGCTGACCCCATTGGTGACGTCGCGCAGACAGTGGCCGCCGACTTTGGGATCTCGCGCTGGACGAAAAGCGCTGCTGAGGTTTTCGGCGATCCCGACATTGACGCGGTCGTCATCTGCTCCCCAACTGCGCTGCACGCAGAGCACATCGTCGAAGCGGCAAGACACAAGAAGCAAATCTTCTGCGAGAAACCCGTCGCTTTCAGTGTTGATAAAGTCGACCAAGCCATCAAGGCGGTACGGTCTGGTTGTCAAGGGTGTTGCTGTTGTAGGGGATGGCATGCATGACTGAGGATACGAGTTGGTGCTTTTGATTTCGGACGTAGGCAGGAGATGCTGGCGTGAAGCTCATGATCGGCTTCAATCGTCGATTTGACGCCAACTTTGCACGCATGAAGCGGGCGATTGACTGCGACGAGATCGGCAAGATCAACATGTTGCGTATCACAAGTCGTGACCCTGGTGCCCCACCTATTGAGTACGTCAAGGTGTCGGGTGGACTCTTTCATGACATGACTATCCACGACTTTGACATGGCGAGGTTTCTTGTTGGCGACGAAGTAGATGAAGTCTACGCAATGGCACAAAGCGTGAACCCGGAAATTGCAGCAGTAGGCGACGTCGACACTGCCGTGGTCCTGCTCAAGTTCCGTAATGGCGTCATCTGCTACATTGAAAACAGTCGGGAGGCGGTGTACGGATACGACCAGCGCGCGGAGGTTCTAGGCTCGAAGGGGTCTGTAGCCTTCGACAACAAACATTCGAACCAGGTGGTGGTGTCCACGAATGAAAGCGTCCGCCGCGACTTGCCGCTGCACTTCTTCTTAGAGCGTTACATGGACGCGTATGTGGTGGAGATGGAGGCTTTCATCCGTGTGTGCACCACTGATGGTTCTTCCGTTCCTGTTGGTGGACACGATGGTCGTGAGGCTTTGTTGCTGGCGTTAGCGGCAGACAAATCGCTTGCTGAGAAGCGTCCTGTTAAAATCGATGAGTTCCGGTAGTTTCTTGGTAAATGGTCCCCGCATGTAGATATGCTTGGCTGCTTGCTCTTCATACATACATCCTCGTGTGTAAACTAAACGAACAAATTCAAACAAGACAAGCTGAGCACACATGCATTTTGTGGTAACCTTGCCTGTTGTCGTTGCACTGTCACTGTCTCTGCGTCCAAAGTCGGTGCAGTATCTAAAACACGATCGTGTCCAGCATAGCGCCGAGACACTGGACTGTGTTAAGAGCCATGAGATCGTACACATCGTTCTCCAGATGCTTCTTCGGGTCCAGCTTGCCGACATTGAGCACTTCGAGCTCCTCTGGTGTCTTTTCTTCTTCTTCCTGGACGCGCTTGTTGTACTTTTCCGTGAGATCCAGCATAGTCTACGCTCGTTGTGGAGTAAAACAAGACAAAAGAACAAGCTTTAGCCCAGTGATCTTCATCATTTTTGCACCAGGCGTTTGACCACGCACGTACCTCCACCGTCTTCTCGTTCTCCTTGGAGTGATCTTCAAACTTGGCGAGCACAAGGCCGTCGCTCCACGTGTTTTTGTGTAGATTCATGAGCATTTGTTCCTCCAGTTCATTCTTGCGGTAGTCAATAGCGATCGAGTAGTAATGACGGTTCAGTCCGTGGATCAGCGCCTGGATCGACGGCTTGTTCAAGTGGCCAATGTTTGAGGTCGTTTGCCGCGGCTCTTGGCCCATCATCATGAGCTGTGGATTAATGAGACGGAAGGCGTCAATCACCACTTTGCCCTTGACACTCTGAATAGGGTCCACTACCACTGCGACGGCGCGTGGGTTCAGTGCTTCAAAACTCTGCTGGGTATTAATGTCCACGCCCGAGAGCCAGCAGCCAAAGCCCGGGTGCGAGTGGTACCACCCCACGACCATCTCGGCCCGTCCCGTCTGCTTGAGCATCTCCAGCATCTGCATCTGGAAGACAGGGTCCACGGCCTCGACACTCACGCCCGTGCCACTTTGGGGCATAGCAAAGACGTCAATGCAATTGACAGTGTAATCGTCCACGAACTCGCCAAGCATGAGACCCATGACTTCCATTGGTACACCGGCTCGACCTGTATACAGAAGAGGTAATTTATTCGTAAATTACACCTCAAAGAGACGAAGGTATGATTGAATTAAAAATGGGACCTCGTACCGTGTTTCAGCATCTTCAGCAACGCGAGCGACGAGATATGCACCTTCTCAGCAGTATCAACGAGCGGACCGTCAGCTCCAGGTCCACCCTGGCCTGGAAGTCCTGGCAGGTTGCCAAAGATGCGCTGGAGTCGGTCCATCGTCGAGGACTTGGTCGAAGATTGGGGGGAGAGATGCTTTTTAATGCAAAGTTTGTTTTGGGTCCTGTGAAGGCCCGTAATTTACGGCTTGATTGTCTTTTTGGTTTTTTTGCAGGGCATTTTGTTCGGAACACCGAGCTGAGATGGATATCAGCTGGAAGATTCGTTTGTTGCCACTTCAATTGCTTACTTCAGTGTTCCCTTCAATAAGTTCGTGCTTTTCCGGAAAGTTATATTCATCAAGTTCGTTTTTTTACGGTCGCTAGCATCAGGAGTTACAGCCAGAACGGGCGATGAAACTTTAGAAAGGGAATTCTTTCTAAATTTGGAGCTGTTGTAGCATGACAACGTACGGTAAGAACATGGCAATGCATTGGGAACCAACGGATCGCCGCTATCTTGTTGTTCCGTCGCCGGCAGTACTATCCAATTCGGCGACAATAACCCGAAATTAGACTACTTGAGACTCACTCAGTCACTGCGAACGAAAGAGACATGTCTGCGATGACATCGGTTTTAGCATTTATTCATCGTTCTAACGAATTCGTCCTATGTTCTTCTTCGCTCAAGCCGCGACTACGCATCCTTCATCGTTGATGGCATCCTTGGTATTATTTTTGCTCATTGCATTCTTGACATGACTCAGCTAGCGTTGTCGGATGCGGCGTAACAGGTTTGTGCATTGCGTTGAGTGCATGGCTTATGCGACGACACCGAGCAATGGGAATGGATTCATTTGTCAGTAGCTTCTTCGAAGTTGTGTGCGTGATCGACACGCGAACAGCTCGCACGTAATTCGACAACGCAGTGACCAGACCCATTATCTCTTTGCTGGAATCGTATGCACTCTGGACGCCCGTTGCCATCAGATCGAACTTCGCATCGACTTTGATGGAAAAGCTGCTTGCACAACACCCAAAAAATACCTGGTAATGACTTAGAGTGCACCATTGTCACACTCAGTGAGGTATGTGAGTGGGAAATGTGCATAGCATGTTCCAAGGTGGCATCAAAATCTGGGAACACTTTGGCAACGTGTGCTCTTTTTGGTAACACGCTGTGGTAGTTTTAGTACGATATTTCTACCAAGCTATTCCATGTGCGTAAACTCGGATGTCTTAGTTGCACTGGATGCGTCACCTTATGTTAACTCAGCGGGATCTTCTTCCGAGTCACTACTATCGTCGCTGTTATTCTAGCGGCACTAGTGCCATCGGCGCTACTACCGTCGTCGCTACCAGAGAAGCGCTTCAAACGACATCGTAGACTTAGGTAGAAGGTGGCCTGTGGTCAGACGTTCTCTAAATACAAGCAATGACTTCTAAAATGTCGACTTTAATAATCTTTGGGCAATCTAGATGTAAATCTCTCGATCTTGTGGAATACATTATTTAGCTTCATTTTTGTGCATACTGGTCACTTTTTAGATCATGTTCAAGGTGAGCGCGATACTTTTCAACTTTTAGAGATCGACGCAAGTCACTATCGATGCAAAAGCACATACCGTTGAATAAAAATGAAGGGATCGTGGTCGTCACGTTCACTCGATGCTTTTTACCAACGACCTTGCCTAATAGACTGATAGCACTACCGTCTCGACTTGGCGAAGTTTAAACAATTGTTACGGGAGAAGTGTCGTTGCGGTTTACCCTGCCATCGGTTTGACCAGATTTCACGCTCAATCGTTGACGCCACATACGCCTAATAACGAACCCACCGAAAAGCCCATACCGTCAGCTAGCTTCGTTTGTAAAATCCCTGTTTGTCCACCTCCAGTTTGGATCTTACAGAGGCTGGATGTTCTACCAGGGAATGCTATCGAGGGAGCTGACACGATACTACTTCCTTGCAAATCACTTTTACAAAGTCCGTTTTTACGCCTCCTTTTCACACCAGAAAAGCCATAGAATTCATTTAAGCACGTCACGACTCTGTCAAAACATGCTCCAACAAAAATCGCCCTGGATTGAATCGTAAAGTACCTGTTTGCTTCACTCTTTGTATGCCGTTCGACAGTCTCCACAACATCCGCGACCGCCATCCGCCTTTCCAGGATGGAATTCCTCGTGCCGCTACATGCAGCGGATCTGGAGCTGGCCAAGGCAGGGCGTTACCACGTGCAGTCAGTGCACGCGTTTGAAGACGAGACGGACGAAGAGATTGCAGGGCACGTCCAGCAAGTGGAAGACCAGGTGCTGGGCAGCGAGGCGGGACTGGAGCTGCTGCAGGACGAGTGGCTGGACTTGACGTACAGTTTCGTCAAGAAACTGCCGGCGTTACCAGATCCACTGCGTATGCGGGTGATTGAGATGCTCGCAGCTTTTGTGAGCAGCGTGACGGAGAGTGTGTTGGCGAGACGCTCGGGCAGCGATGACGCAGACGCCGTGGCTTTGATCCGAAGCGCTTTTAAAGCCAGTGTGTACTTTCTAGTCACAGCACTCACGAGTGTCTGCAGTAGTTTGCAGCTACAGGTGGAAAAAGACGTGATGAAGACAAAAGGGAAGAAGAGCCAGACGGCTGTGACGAATCGCATCAACTGGAGCAAAGTCGTCGAGGGAGCTATTCATAAACTCAGTCGATCGATCAGCCCTGCGACGTTTGGCATGTGGAACATGAGAGTCCCTGAAGAGGTGCGTTGTCGATTCAGGAGAGAACGAATGAGTAGGAGGTCTGGTGCATGTGGTACGTTGATACTAACGACCGCTGGTGTTAGGAGTTTTCGATGCTGTATTGCAAAGTCGTGTTTGAGCTATTGGGCAATGCAACGCTTTGTCGCGGGAAGGCCCTGAAGCCAAAGCTTTATCATGTTCGTAGTACTCTACTCTCTCATTATATTTTCGATACGACACAAGTGGCTGACTAACTGTGAGCTGCTTTTTTGGATTGCTCTTGTTTGCAGTTGCTCGCAATGAGTCTGCAAAAAGCGCCTGCTATCCATGTTTCAGTAGTAGCCTCACTCATTGATCTCATCTATGCACATGAGCATCTGAGTGCCCCCATTGCCGAATTGGTCGAGCTGCTGTATTTCAAGTATACCAACACCACGTTTGCGTCGAACCTTATCAGCGAGATTGGGAAGATATCCTCTCGGGATGCCTCGAAAGACGTAGCTGGGACGCGAAATATTGCCATGTTCCTTTCCAGTCTGTCAACTCTCACCCCAGCATTGATTACGGGCAACCTGAGTTTCGTGTTGGCATTGTTAGACTGTGAAGCGTATCAGCTACGGAATGCTGCTGTTACGTGCGTGACACAGATCTTACTCTGGAATTTTCGACAGAGCGGACAGCAGGAGCCCGAGGACGACGCAGTGATTGCGGTAAAGAAGAAACGTGGACCTGACAGTGACGAAAGTAGTGACGGGGAAGGAGATGGCAGCAGTAGTGAATCGAATGGTGAAGCGCACACTGAAAACGCTAACACCGAAGCCCCTCGCACGTTCTCTCGTTCGACGAGAGACCAGTTACTCAATGTGCTTGAAGAACGCATTCATGACATCAATTCCTTTGCTCGTGGGCATGTGTTAAAAATGTGGGCTCTCTTGTGCGAAGAAGGAGCGCTGCCGCTACACATGCTTAAGAACGTTACATTGATGGCTGTGGGACGGTTGCAGGACAAGGCAGTGGTCGTTCGCCGTCATAGCATCCACCTGCTTACGTTATTGCTAGAAAGAAACCCGTTCATGGGTAACCTTGATCGTCAATTCTACGCGATGAAGCATGACGCCTTGACAGTAGAGATGAAGAAAAAGCGGGACGAAGTGATCGCCGGCGCGGAAAAGGAAATGAGTGAAGCTATGGGTGACATCGCCATCCATAGCGGAGACTCGGAAGCACCCTCGTCGACTGTTACTTCAGAAGAGGAAGCTGTCGCTCTGGAAAAAGATCTGCAGAAGACCATGCGTTTGTTAAAGTACTACCAAGATGCAATCAACTTTATTGATGAGTTTGAGCTGCAAGCGTTGCCACTGATGGGTCAATTGCTGGGGAGCAAGTCGACTTCCGATGTACTGGAGGCTATCCAATTTCTTGAGAAAGCATACCGGTTCCATCTTAGCGCGGCCCAAGCTGGTATCAGAAAAGTATTGCCATTGATATGGCGATCCGATGTATCCATTCAAGATCAGTTGTCCAGCACTTTCGTGGCTTTGTTCGTCCGCATTGATGAAGAAGACCCTGAGCGAGATTCACCTCAGCTAGTGGCAGAAAATCTTGTGAAATTTCTAGACAAGTGTACTGTTGCTGATTACACGTGTCTCGAGCGGATCATGGGCGAGCTCCACCGTGGCCAGAAGGTACCAATGGTGGTAATCAGCTCTCTTTGGGGGCTTGTGGATGTCACAGTGTACCCTGTCTCCGTTGTGAGCAACGCTTTGGCCCTGCTGAGCATGATTGCGAACATCGATGATTCGATGTTGTTTTCCAACGACCGTCTCAGTCAGGTTCTTTCGATGGGATTCGGGGATGTGGCATGCAGCCCAGACTCACGGTATCGAGTCTTCGGAGCTGCTTGTCGGTTGGTGCAATGTGTTCAACTGGAGCCGAAAAGCTTAGCCTCAAAATCCAGCGGTCAAACCCAAAGACGCATACAGCGCACAAATCTAGACGCAACGGAGCAGATCATCCTTCGCTTGCAGCGATTTCTTGCTCTAGATTTTGTAAATGACGACGGAATCGACACGGAGTGCCTACATTCCACATGGTTTGATACCGTGCAGCAAGCGATTGACGCCATCTTCTCCATCTGTGAGCGTCCGGAAGACGTGTGTGGTGACGTGATTAAGCATCTTTCGCTGCGTCTCTTCGAAAGTGAAACAAACGATGTGTCGCGTATTGAGTTAGCTCACTTTTTTTTCGTGTTGGGTCACTCCGCAGTAAAAGTTGCTATTCACGTGGAAAAACTAGCTGCAAAGGTGAAGGAAATGCGCGGCAATCGTGGCGTACCGAAGAAACCCGCTGACAACACAGTGTCGAATGGCGACGCCGAAGACGTGACTGCGATGGAGGATGAACTTGGTGTTGCTGCTGAGGTTGAGGCTGAGGAAGATACCTTTGTAAACAATATCATCCAAAAGGAGATCGCTTGCCGCAACTTGCTTGGAGTGTATGGGCCACTGATTATCCGCGTACTCGTGGGAACCGAAGAAGAGTTCCAGAGTGACGAGCTGCTGATAGAGTGTGCTGTGGTAGCGCTGAGCAAATTCATGGCGGTTTCGGAGGAGTTCTGCGAAAAGCACTTGCAATTGCTCTTCACGATCCTCCAAGATTCTTCGCAGCCCTCTGTGCGAGGTGACGTGATCATCGCGTTAGGAGACCTCTCATTCCGCTTTCCAAATTTGGTGGAGCCTTGGACACCCCACCTTTACAATCGACTCCGTGATGTCAACCTCAACGTCCGCAAAAATACAATCGTTGTGCTCTCTCACCTGATTCTCAACGACATGATCAAGGTGAAAGGCCAGATAAGCGAGATTGCTATCTCACTGGTCGACAAAAATGACGGCATCCGCAATCTTGCCAAGCTCTTCTTTTACGAGCTATCGAAGAAAGGTACGAACCCTATTTACAACATGCTGCCGGACGCCATTGGCCAACTATCGACAAGGTGAGAGACACGGGTTGATGTTCACTGCGTTTTGCACTCTTATGAATGACTAACGGACTGCCAAAAACTTTGTAGCGAGCTCGTATCCAATGCTGACTTCCAGACGATCGCGCGGTTCCTCATTCAATTCATTTTGAAGGAAAAGCAAATCGAGAGTATCGTTGAAAAGCTGGCACAGCGATTTTCAACGGCCGCCAAGGCCCAGCAGCAGCGTGACCTGGCTTTTTGCTTGGCACGTTTGCCGCATACGGAAAAGTCGCTCAAGTACCTGTACCAGAATCGCAAGCTGTACAGTGATGCGCTCCATGATAGTGCAGTTGCTGACAATTTTACGTCCCTGGTCGCAAAAGCTCGGCGGGGAACCAGTACGCTTACAGCGACAGCTGAGATGAAAGAAGCCATTGACAAGCTGGACCAGTTTGTGGCTGGCAAGAAGGAGGGAAAAGAGATGGTAAGCCGTTGTATTTACTGGTACGTGAAGGGATCATAAATATACTCCGGTACTTACTCTGTTGCGTGAACAGGACGAGACCATGGGCAGTGAACCTGCGGAACGTGTTTCGTCACCGCAAGCCAAGGGCAAGGCGAAGCGCAAGGTCTCTACCAAAGGTGTGAAGTCTTCGAGAGTGATGCCGAAGAAGAGGGGGCGAGCCAAACGGAAGGCAAGCACTCGCAGTAGAAAGGTTACCCGCGCCGCGAGCGAGGACTCTTTAGAAGAAGACGAGTGAAGCTTATCTCAACAAGTCGTGGTCAGCGAATGAAAGCAGTACGTGTTTATGAACGAAGGCCTAACATCGAATGAAGAGCCTCCAAACAAAAGACGTCCAAATCATCGATCGGTTGTCGGTTGCAGTCACCCCTTTTGACATACAGCAAGTAGTCGTCAGTCTACAGTGGCTGCCGGTCAGCCACCACCAAGCTTGTGCAGGCGGTGAGCACGCGCAGAACTTCGTCCGGATCATCCAGATAATACTGTGCGCGACTGACTTTCATGCCCACTGTGCACGTGTAGCAGTTGCTGCCCTGGACGACGTCGAACATGTCTTCGTCCGTACGTTCGTCGCCAAGCGCAAGAATGAAATCAAAGTCCAGCGCCGTAAAGTACGGCGTCTCACTCTCGTACTCCAAAATGCGGCTCACAGCTCGGCCCTTATTCACACGCCACGGTCGAATCATCACGTACTTCTTAATTTGGCACATCACCACACCAACCGGCAAATCACGCAGCATCTGATCGAAATGAAGCTGCATATCCTTTGCCTGCTTTAGGCCGAAAGTTGGGTCAGCGTCTCGAAAGTGCCACGTATAGCAGCAATCCTTCACGTCCAGCAATGAGCCAGGGGTCCGCTCCGTGAAGTGTTCCAGTATGCTCTCCACTTCGTCGCGCCACCCCAGCTCAACGTCACTAAACATACACTGCCACGGAGCACTTTCAAACACAGCGCCTTCGTTCCCGTTCGCTCCCGTGGTGGATGATGACGACTTGACCAGCAATTCGTCTTCCGCAGCAAGCACAACTGGCGCTGATTCTGCTCCGTGCGGCGATTCCACGCTACCCGTACTCGCCAGGACAGTACTACTGCTGGTCAAAATACCGCCGCTTCCATCGACATCGAGCGTAGATGGGTGTTTGGCGGCCGGGCGGAACCAGTAACCATGCTCTGCCGCCAGTCCCACGCGCGGCAAAGGGCCGAACCATTCCTACGATGTACACGAGCATTTGGGAGAGACACGACACGCAATACGATAACGGCACACAGTAAACAACAAGCATAGCACAGAGCAAGCGCAAGCATAAGCTTACCTGCAGACGGTTCTTGTTCCTTCCACATATGATGTAGACCGTATTGCGTGGATCAGCAGTCAGTTCTTCTAGACACGAAAGAAGCGCCGGGGAAGGCTCCGCCAGTTCTTCCATGCTCTGGTAATTCACAAGCGTGCCATCATAATCCAGCAAAAACAAACGCCGTTGGCCTCGTTCGTAGTACCCTAGCAGTTGCGCCGTGTCCAATTTGTCGAGTCGGTTGTATTCTTGCGCGGTTGCAGCAGCCTGCACCATGCCAAAACCACGTGGGTGAATAGGATCAACATCGCCATGCACAACTACGAGCTTACCTCGTTCAGCGCTGACATAATTCGTTGAGCCCACAGTGTCGACGTGTACGTAAATACATAGCGAGACAACTGGTGGTGTCGGATACGTTTCGTGGTCGTACTCATGCGAAGCGCCGTATCCACGCTTGCTGCAACTTGCTCAATATGCATTGGATTTACCAGCAATGCACCCTGGAAAGACGACGCACATCTGATAGCAAGCACCATCCAAATAATTCCTGTTAACACAATACCAACCATCTCATCCAGTACCGCCAACGACAGACAGCATACCCTGCGAATTCACTGTAGACGAGAACGCCACGGCAGCTTTTCTTCTGGGCAGCAATGAATTCCATCGCCTGCAAATTGATCCCTTCCTTGATGCTACTCACGATGGCTACATCCGCACAGTTGTACAACGCCACAAGCTGGTCGTGGTCGATCGACTGCTTCAGATAGCGCACGGGGCAATACTCAGCTGTGCCAAATCGGCCATTGACACGGCCAACGAGTTCGCTGATTTGGCGACTGAGCATCCGGTACTGTAGCGATGCCGTGCGTCCGGCATCGCGCACAACGGCGTAGAGCACTACTTTTCCACGGTACTCTGGATAATGCTGAAGCAAGTAATCCATCGCCTCAAGCATTTCTGGGATGCCTTTGCAAAAGTCGAGTTTATGCACGCCCACCAGAATCTTCAGCCCATCTTGCTGCTGCTTGAGCATCTCCACTTGTGCTTCGACCTGAGGTGTTAGTGCGTACTTAGTTGGGTCAATACCCATGGGACAAATGCCAAGCGAGATGAGGCGTCCATTGTACTCCACGCGACTAGGCGATGACTCAAGTCCGAGCATGCGCGTGCAGACGTTCCGAAAGTGACGGACGTAGTCAAAATGGTTGAAAACCACGAGGTCAGCACCGAGGACGCCGTTTAGCAACACCTTCCGTACAGGCAGCATCTGGAAAAACTCCGACGATGGAAAGGGGCAATGAAAGTAAAAGCCACACGTGACCTCGGGGAAGCGCCGACGCAGTAGGCCAGGCAGCGCCATGAGCTGGTAGTCACACACGAGCACCATGTCTCCGTCCTTGTAGATCTCCGACACGACCTCGAGGAACTTTTGATTGGCCGAGCAGTAAGCGTCGTACTTGTCCCCAAAGTTCTCGAGCAACCGGCTGTCCGACCGCTGCGGCAGCGAGTGGAAGAGCGGCCAGAGCACCACGTTACAAAACTGGTTGTAGTACAGGTCAATGGTCTCGTGGCTCAGGAAGACGGGGTGGCACTGCGAGTCCGCCAGCCGCCGCCGCACGCCGTCCTGGCTTGACTCGTCCACGGCCACGCCTGGCCACGAGACCCAGTGCACGGCGTTGCCTTGTCCCAAGTAGTCAATGGCGCTCTTGAGGCCCGTGGCCGAATCCTCGTAGTGCCACCCGTCCCCTTGGTCCGTCTTGTGCATGCGCACGCAACGCCGCAGCGAGCACACGATGATCTTGTTGCTGTCGTTGGCCATGGGGATGGGCCCCAAGTTGCGCGCCAGCGAGTTGTACCGCTGCGAGTTCTGGCGCACGGCCGCGAGTCGCTGGTGCAGGTCATGGAGCTGGTCCAGTAGCGAGCTCTCGCCCAGTTCCGCTAGACTTGACGGGGCGACGTCGGAGGATTCGAGCATATTTTTGGCAAGTGAGAGAGAGAGAGAGGAAGAAAATGTGGGGCCGACGCCTTTTGGGTCCCTCGGAATATCTTCGAGTCAAAGAGAGAGTGACGACGACCGAGTGTGGAAAACGGACAGACCCGGATGATGGATGCATGTTGGTTTTGGATTCGAAGGCAGGTTGATCATCTCGCGTACACGCACTTTTCAAGAACAATCGGTTGGTTGATTGCTTGGTTGGTTGGTAGGTCGGTCGTATCGATCTACATCTACTCCTTGTCCACGATTGCTACAAGCAAGTCGCGGTACTTGCCACTCGTGTCTTTGCGGATGCGCACACCGAGGTCCTTGCCATACTGCTTCTTGTAAGCGGTTTTGATCTCGGGCAGCATTGAACTGTAGCGCACCACTCCTGCACTGAGCCCGTACTCATCCGTGCCAAACCCCTTCATCGTGTTTTCCAAGAGGTCTGCCACCACCTCAAATGGTTCGGCTGCCATCCGCACGTAGAACAGCAGCGTCTTCTGAGCATCGCCTCTGAACTCGCCCTTGATCGCCTTGATCACACTCGTCTTCTTATACTTTGCCGCGTAGGCGGCGATGATGGCACGCACATGCTCCGCAGGGCTCAGCACCAGGGTGTCAATAAACGTCTTTGCATCCGTGCCGCGCATTCCTTCGCCAGCCTTGTACAGGATGTCAGCATCCGTACTAGCTTTCGCACTCGTGTGCACAGAGGCGTCGAAGTCGGCCACCTCGCCGCGCATAGCGGTAAGGACCACCTTCTTCAGGTCACCGCTCAGTTCACCACTCAAAACCGTTACTAGGTCGTTGCCGTACTTCTCCTGGAACGTTTTCTTCAGTAGCGCAATCTCAGCGTTCGAGCGAGCCATCACGACCGGATAAATCCATTTCTCCGTCGTGCCTAGGCCCACTGTCGCCTTGCGCAAGATCTCGGCTTCTACGTGCTCCAGTGGACTCGCGAGCATCTTCAGCAGAACGCCATAGTCGCTCGTGCTCTTCACCCACGTCGTCAAGCTCTGTTTGTACAGAATGCGGTAGCGCCACCAGATCAGGTAGCGCTGCTCCACAGTCTTCGACAGCAGCAGAGATGCCAGGGAAGTCTCAGCCGAAGTCGTGCTAGAGCACACGCGGTGGATCTCCTGCACGGCCGCATCGATCTCGGCAGGGAACGTCATCGACTCAATGCTGCTGCTCTCACGTGCATAGCGCACGTACAGACTGCTCACTGATGTCGAACCGGCGACTGCTAGCTCCGCTGTGCCCTTCTTGTCGCTCACCGTAGATTGTGCCGTCTTTGAGCCGGCAAATCCACTCTCCTTCAAGGTCGTACTCGCTGTGGCACCCGATGGAATACCCGCTTTCTCCGTTGACACACTTGTGCTGATGGCATCACTACTTACCCCTTCACCCACAGCAATACTAGTTGAAGCAGACACAGGTCCGGATGTAGACGTACCGAACTCCGTCTCTGCCCCGTCTAGCACCGACAAAAGCAGCTGGGAGTACTCGCCACTCACCACACCCTGGATGCGAGTACGCAGCTCTTGGTGGTACAACCGCATATACACAATGCGAATGCGCACAAGGAGGCGATAGTACCGCACCACACACGCGCTCAGGCCATACACATTCTTGCTACCACCCTTCAGCGTCGTCTCGAACAGCTCTACCAGAAGGTTCTCCGGTTCCAGCACCGACCGCACTAGGAACAGCAGCGCACGCTTCGCGTCGCCGGAGAATTCCGCCTCGACCACACCCGCTAGGCTTGTCTTGTACTTTGCCTCGTAGGCACCGCTAATGCCACGCACATGCTCCACGGGGCTCAGCACCAGGGTGTCAATAAACGCCTTTGCATCCACGCCATGTTTTCCCTCGCCAGCCTTGTACAGGATGTCAGCATCCGTACTAGCTTTCGCACTCGTGTGCACAGAGGCGTCGAAGTCGGCCACCTCGCCGCGCATAGCGGTAAGGACCACCTTCTTCAGGTCACCGCTCAGTTCACCACTCAAAACCGTTACTAGGTCGTTGCCGTACTTCTCCTGGAATGTTTTCTTCAGTAGCGCAATCTCAGCGTTCGAGCGAGCCATCACGACCGGATAAATCCATTCCTCCGTCGTGCCTAGGCCCACTGTCGCCTTGCGCAAGATCTCGGCCTCTACGTGCTCCAGTGGACTCGCGAGCATCTTCAGCAGAACGCCATAGTCGCTCGTGCTCTTCACCCACGTCGTCAAGCTCTGTTTGTACAGAATGCGGTAGCGCCACCAGATCAGGTAGCGCTGCTCCACAGTCTTCGACAGCAGCAGAGATGCCAGGGAAGTCTCAGCCGAAGTCGTGCTAGAGCACACGCGGTGGATCTCCTGCACGGCCGCATCGATCTCGGCAGGGAACGTCATCGACTCAATGCTGCTGCTCTCACGTGCATAGCGCACGTACAGACTGCTCACTGATGTCGAACCGGCGACTGCTAGCTCCGCTGTGCCCTTCTTGTCGCTCACCGTAGATTGTGCCGTCTTTGAGCCGGCAAATCCACTCTCCTTCAAGGTCGTACTCGCTGTCGCACCCGATGGAATACCCGCTTTCTCCGTTGACACACTTGTGCTGATGGCATCACTACTTACCCCTTCACCCACAGCAATACTAGTTGAAGCAGACACAGGTCCGGATGTAGACGTACCGAACTCCGTCTCTGCCCCGTCTAGCACCGACAAAAGCAGCTGGGAGTACTCGCCACTCACCACACCCTGGATGCGAGTACGCAGCTCTTGGTGGTACAACCGCATATACACAATGCGAATGCGCACAAGGAGGCGATAGTACCGCACCACACACGCGCTCAGGCCATACACATTCTTGCTACCACCCTTCAGCGTCGTCTCGAACAGCTCTACCAGAAGGTTCTCCGGTTCCAGCACCGACCGCACTAGGAACAGCAGCGCACGCTTCGCGTCGCCGGAGAATTCCGCCTCGACCACACCCGCTAGGCTTGTCTTGTACTTTGCCTCGTAGGCACTGCTAATGCCACGCACATGCTCCACGGGGCTCAGCACCAGGGTGTCAATAAACGCCTTTGCATCCACGCCATGTTTTCCCTCGCCAGCCTTGTACAGGATGTCAGCATCCGTACTAGCTTTCGCACTCGTGTGCACAGAGGCGTCGAAGTCGGCCACCTCGCCGCGCATAGCGGTAAGGACCACCTTCTTCAGGTCACCGCTCAGTTCACCACTCAAAACCGTTACTAGGTCGTTGCCGTACTTCTCCTGGAATGTTTTCTTCAGTAGCGCAATCTCAGCGTTCGAGCGAGCCATCACGACCGGATAAATCCATTCCTCCGTCGTGCCTAGGCCCACTGTCGCCTTGCGCAAGATCTCGGCCTCTACGTGCTCCAGTGGACTCGCGAGCATCTTCAGCAGAACGCCATAGTCGCTCGTGCTCTTCACCCACGTCGTCAAGCTCTGTTTGTACAGAATGCGGTAGCGCCACCAGATCAGGTAGCGCTGCTCCACAGTCTTCGACAGCAGCAGAGATGCCAGGGAAGTCTCAGCCGAAGTCGTGCTAGAGCACACGCGGTGGATCTCCTGCACGGCCGCATCGATCTCGGCAGGGAACGTCATCGACTCAATGCTGCTGCTCTCACGTGCATAGCGCACGTACAGACTGCTCACTGATGTCGAACCGGCGACTGCTAGCTCCGCTGTGCCCTTCTTGTCGCTCACCGTAGATTGTGCCGTCTTTGAGCCGGCAAATCCACTCTCCTTCAAGGTCGTACTCGCTGTCGCACCCGATGGAATACCCGCTTTCTCCGTTGACACACTTGTGCTGATGGCATCACTACTTACCCCTTCACCCACAGCAATACTAGTTGAAGCAGACACAGGTCCGGATGTAGACGTACCGAACTCCGTCTCTGCCCCGTCTAGCACCGACAAAAGCAGCTGGGAGTACTCGCCACTCACCACACCCTGGATGCGAGTACGCAGCTCTTGGTGGTACAACCGCATATACACAATGCGAATGCGCACAAGGAGGCGATAGTACCGCACCACACACGCGCTCAGGCCATACACATTCTTGCTACCACCCTTCAGCGTCGTCTCGAACAGCTCTACCAGAAGGTTCTCCGGTTCCAGCACCGACCGCACTAGGAACAGCAGCGCACGCTTCGCGTCGCCGGAGAATTCCGCCTCGACCACACCCGCTAGGCTTGTCTTGTACTTTGCCTCGTAGGCACTGCTAATGCCACGCACATGCTCCACGGGGCTCAGCACCAGGGTGTCAATAAACGCCTTTGCATCCACGCCATGTTTTCCCTCGCCAGCCTTGTACAGGATGTCAGCATCCGTACTAGCTTTCGCACTCGTGTGCACAGAGGCGTCGAAGTCGGCCACCTCGCCGCGCATAGCGGTAAGGACCACCTTCTTCAGGTCACCGCTCAGTTCACCACTCAAAACCGTTACTAGGTCGTTGCCGTACTTCTCCTGGAATGTTTTCTTCAGTAGCGCAATCTCAGCGTTCGAGCGAGCCATCACGACCGGATAAATCCATTCCTCCGTCGTGCCTAGGCCCACTGTCGCCTTGCGCAAGATCTCGGCCTCTACGTGCTCCAGTGGACTCGCGAGCATCTTCAGCAGAACGCCATAGTCGCTCGTGCTCTTCACCCACGTCGTCAAGCTCTGTTTGTACAGAATGCGGTAGCGCCACCAGATCAGGTAGCGCTGCTCCACAGTCTTCGACAGCAGCAGAGATGCCAGGGAAGTCTCAGCCGAAGTCGTGCTAGAGCACACGCGGTGGATCTCCTGCACGGCCGCATCGATCTCGGCAGGGAACGTCATCGACTCAATGCTGCTGCTCTCACGTGCATAGCGCACGTACAGACTGCTCACTGATGTCGAACCGGCGACTGCTAGCTCCGCTGTGCCCTTCTTGTCGCTCACCGTAGATTGTGCCGTCTTTGAGCCGGCAAATCCACTCTCCTTCAAGGTCGTACTCGCTGTCGC